TCACTCTTACCTAGACCTCACACTTAGGCCAAGCATCGTATCTCACCTTGGCCTACCTTGCATGATCACTTACACCTTTAGTTTGTCTTGTGCGCACCTCGGCATGCAGCCGCTTGCCGAAGCCTAGGTAGCCACACCTCGGTCAGGAGGTGTGGGACCTCGGCAAAGACCTGATTGATACCCAGCATGTCTTCCTGACATGTAAAACAGTGTTTTGACTTCCAGCATGTTTTTCTGAGATCATTGCATGCATGTGAGACCTGTTTTGAGAAGTACGTTCAGTGTATTTGCCATGTGTTTGTAGGATTTGGACCTTGTCTTGATCTCGACGTCCCAAGAACCAATGTGAGTGGTATTTTTAATAAAGTTATGTTATAACGTTTTGATAAAGCTTTGCCTTGTTTTGATAAAAGTATTTGTTAAGCATGAATGATATCCCTATTTTATGTATCAAGTATAAACTCTGTTTTGGATGGCAATGTATCAAGTAAGCTTTGTTTTGATGTCAATCTTTGAAATTCCGTACGTGCCAGGGGACTTTAAGCATTTGTGGCACAAGTCCGTACGTGCTAAGGGACTATAAGCATTAGTAGCACACATGCGAAGTCCGTACGTGCTAAGGGACTATAAGCATTAGTAGCACACATGTGAAGTCCGTACGTGCCAGGGGACTCTAAGCTTTTGTGGCACCTTTGTTTGTTTTGTCCGGAATGTCATCACCCCATGTTTTGAGATTTGACGTATGTTAAGTAAATAAGTAAGTTTTGAAGGACCAAGGTTATGCCGAGGTCATGTTTTAAGTTGGCGTATGTTAAGTAAGTAAGTTTTGTAAGATCAAGTTTGATGAACAAGATTTATCTCATGTTTTGTGCAAGCTATGATAATGTACGATTTTGACAAAGATATATTATGTGTTGTTTTGAAAGACCTCGGGAATCATTCATTTAACCCATTTATTACTTATACCATTCACTGAGTATCCAAGCTCACCCTCCCTATGTATATATGTAGGTAACAAGCAAGAAGTCGGCTACGCCAAGATGTGTGTTTTGTATGCATGTTATGTCGGCTGTAAGGATGTCGGCAATCCTGCAGATTGTGCTTCATGATTTGTAACTCAAGTGTTTTTGTTTATGTCGGCAATCTTGAAGTTTATGTATTTTGAACATGTCGGCTCGAGAAGCCTTTTACCAAGATGTAATATGTATTTTTGTACCTCATTTCATATGTATTCAAGTTTTAAAGCTATGTAAAAATGTATGCCATTCCATTTGACTTATGCACTGCTCTTATGGACCACTTGTATTTTAGATTATTGTTTCCGCGCTTATGAGCCCCCTATATCTATACTCTGATTGCGTGTAAATTTTGAAAGTTGGCCTTCGGTAACCTCAGATTACTGGCCATCACGGCACCAAACTACTAGGGGCGGTTTGGGGTCGTGACATTATGCCTATGTCTCTTCATGTGATGTGTGAAGAACAAAATCATCAAAATATGTATTTTGAAAAATGAACTCACTTTTTGGAATAACCAAAAAAGTATCCAAAAATTTTCAAAAAACTATGTTTAAAAAATCATAACCAAACACAGTGGTTTAGTTCTGTGTTTTGAGTTTGGATTTAATTTTTTAAAAATTAAATTTTTTATTATCATTTTTTTTAGAGAATATTTTTAAAATTTTAAATAATTTTTTTAATTTTTAGATACACCTTATTTAGATGTATCTAAAAAATAAAATATTTATAAAAAATATTCTAAAAAATTAATAAATACACAAAAATATGAAAATTATATTGAATTCTCGCATTTTTTTTTATATTTTTTGGATTTAATGAATTTTTTAAAGATTTTTTTCACAAATATTATATTTTTTAAGTGTATTTATGCTAAATGTATCTAAAGATTAAAAAAATTTCTTAAAATATTAAAAAAATTCAGTGAAAATCAAAAAAAATATGGAAAACAAAAAATTTTAATTTTATGAAAAGTAAATCCTGAAAATCCAAACCAAATAATGATTTACCATTACCTGTGGAATAGTTTGATTCACGATTTAAAATTTATAATCTATATTCGAAATTGTTGTCCCATTATAGTTAAAAAATATATTTTTTTTATTTCTAACAAAATGTCAAAAGTAAAAATTAATATAGGAGATATGTGAGATGTGACATTTCATACAAATTAATGTTATATATGTAAAAAATTATTATGTAAAATCAGTTAGTATTATATATATAACTATTATGTAAATTAATGTTATATATTATAAATGCGTTTGATAATTGTTTAAAGTTGGGGGACACTATATTACACTCCCTTCAAAGAGTATGTAGCATATGCATTTTATAACTAAAAAGAAAAATGATATAATTTTAATTTTTTGAATCATAACTAAAATAAGAAAAAGTGTCAAAAGCACGGCTGGAAAACAGACTTTTAGTGGCGTTTAAAAAACGCCGCTATAAGTGCTAAAAACTTCGCCAATTCCTTTTGCGACGCTTTGTACCAAACGCCGAGGACGCGGCCGTCGCTATAGTTTTATGGCATTTTAAAAACGTCGTGATATTAGTATAAACGCCACCAAATGTCCTACAAAACACTCGCTGACGTCACTGCCAATTTTTAGTGATGTTTTGGAAAAACCCCATCATATCTTTTTTTAAAAATATGACCGTTAGTAAGTAAGGTTTAAGAGGCGTTTGTAGAAACGCCGTCATATCTCTTTTTTTCTTTTTTTTTTTGAAATTGTGCTAATTTTATTTGATTGAACTAAAAAAATACCTGTAATAGCACTAATATAAAATAATAACTCCCATTCAAAAGCATTAATTCATTTTCTCATTCAATTAATATCCAATCACCATTACCCACAAAATTAACATATCCAAAATCCAAAAATCATGTTTTAACAGTAACCACAAACTAACATATATCAAAAAATCATGTCTTAATATTAATCACAAACTAACATATATTCAAAAATCATGTCTTAGCATTAAAGTTGTAGTCTTCACTGGTCTACATGTTTGCATCAGAACATAAACTGCAATCAGATTCACCAAAATAAACACAAATTGAAGAATTTGTACCCAATACTTATAAACAGTACTGAAAACTTGAAGAAGCACTAACAAGAAGATTTAGAGGCCATTTGATCTAACTCCCACTCATCAAATTAGGCAAGACTTCTGAAGGGTCTTTAACATATTTTTTCTTTTAGAATGTGTATAACCTTATCAAATTGAGATTTGCCATCACATACAAATTCAAATTTGAATCTAACCAAAAATCTGGGCCAATGTTGAACAGGTCTATGATGAACAAATCTAGACCTATAATTGACAATAAAAAAAATAATTGATGGCACCATCTGATGCTTTCCAATTCGGCAAACACCATTCTTTCTAAAAAAAATTACAAAAATTGCCAACAATTTCTTCAACGTATGATCAATTTCACACAAGAAAGGGTATTCATGAACTCGAATCCAGGCAAGAGGCTACAAAACCCATAAAAAAACAGGAAAGAGAATACAAGATCATTGAAGCTTGAAATACCCATTTAAACAAGTGTACAAGCCCAATTCAATAAAAGATGCAAATCCAACTAAATTCCTATACTTTGATTAAAAAGAAATAAATTATAGAAAGTAAAAATTATACAAAATAACGTAAAAGGAAAAGAAAAGAAAAAATATTTTTTTGATTAGAATGAACATTTCACAACAAAATAAGAATTCTAATTATAAGTAACTATTTTTATAACAAATTTAAATTTTCTTGTGTGTTTTACAAGAAATTGAAATCTTATTTACATGCTATAATGAGTTGTATAAGAAAATTAATTTTCTTGCAACTACCACTATTTTCATGCTAAACAAACCTTTTTTTTTTTTTTTCAAATTTCCTCCCTTTTGACCATTTTCATCCTAACCAAACTTAGTCATAAGCACAAACACGTGTGTTTTGAGTGGACATGATCTCGTAAATAATCGTGAAAAGTTTTATGGTACTTACCGTTTTAGAGTCCCAGAAGTGAACATTTCAGTGACAAAATTGATGTTCCTATTTGCAGTATCAACCCAAGAAGTGTTAAACTTCATAATGTTGTGGTGTTTCAATGCCTTGAGCAAATGAATTTCACAGTAAAGCCTCTCAAGATCTTCAGGGCTTTGCGGGAAATCATAGAGTTTGACCTGGTTCCAAGCAACAAATGCAGTGGTGGTATGATGGGATCAGTTGGAGGTACAGCCATATGCATATCATATGTTTATACTGAATTTTTTAACCATAATGCAAACTCATGTATCCCACTAAATGTTAAAGATGCCAATTCTGTCATTGAAGTGGATTGAATTTTTTTGATCATAAATCTAATAAAATTTGCACACAAGAATGTAAAAGTCTAATGAAAATCCGTGAATTACAAATCCACAGTTCCATCTATAAAAATTACATGGACAGCCCAGTCTGCCCTCTAGAGACTTCCATTTCTAGAAAAAGTACATGGACATCCACTACAACATGTTGAATACATATCTGGTCATGTCCTCTAAGCAAGACTAAACTGCGGACAACATCAACACACACACACACAAAAGAACTGTTAAGTGTAAAAGAATAAACTAGTTAAATATGTTGAATATAAGATTGACCAAACAACCCAAAAAAAAAAAAACCTTTGAGCCTGAATTTGTATAGTAGCCAGGCTCTAGGCAATTTGAACCAGTTGACCCCCCAAAAGGGAAAGGGGTAAAAAACAGTTACTGCCAAGTTACATGGGAAATATACCTACAGATAAAACTTCACGTGGTGCGAAACAAAGTAACGTAATGAAGTATACTAAATAATGTGCATGTGTCTGCATGACTTAAAAAGAAAACGGTTATATCAAATATACAACATCTTTATGGATTTTTAAATGTGTCACACACATCAACCAATCAACTTACACTAGAGGATCAACTAAAAAAAAAGATATCTATAAATTCTAAAATAACAATTAGCAACTAACCGTTGGATTACCTCATTGCGAAAAATTCTGTTACATTGAACAATAAAATGCTAAACAAAAAGACTAATGGAAGAGCGAATTCATAAATAAATACTGCATCCAAGACAATAAATTCATTTTATACATTTTTTTTTTGGTTAGAAGAAAGGGCAAGTCAACACCATCCAGACATGCTAAACTTCAAAAACAAATACTATCAAAAATATGCCATAGAATCGATAAGTAGCACCACAACGGTAAAAGAATGATAAGGAAGAAAAAACATATGTTCAAACCACTAAAACACTGCAATGAGCAAATGCTAATTAAATTATCTACCCTTTCCCGCTGCTTTTGATTGAGGTAGTGTTCCAAACACCTTGTCCCATATCGAGGAAGTAATACCGAAGCCTTTGTCCTGGATACGGAAATGGTGATTCAAGTGATATTTCTGCAAAAGTGCAACCAATCATTTGTTAAAGATTGACTGGTTCGTTTGATTCACTAGAAAGAAAATGAGTTGTGTACTTGATTATTTAATACCGCTCGAAAATGTAAACAAGTACAACTCTTACCTTAAGATGTCGAGTTACTTGACCTGTTGGTTGTCCATGGTGCAAATAGTAATGGGTGACATCATACAATACATAACCTAATAAACTGCCTCCGAACAAAGCAGGAGTAGTAGTAGGAGTAGATAGAAGTTTGATCATGTTCCAGACCTTGCAGCAACAGATGCAATGAGTCAGACACAATATAAAAATTAGTTAACAATAAGCCAAGTACACACCTATGTTGTACAAATCTATGCTTGTTCATATATGATTCAGATCCTTGTGTTCATTCAAAAGTGTTATTTGTTGCAGTTTCAATAAGTTCAGTTTCTTTTTTTTTTTTTCCTCCCCCAATAACCTTAGGATCTACTCATTTTATTCACAATAAACCATTTAAATTTGATCCACTAGTTGCAACTCAATCCAACTGAGTTGTAGAATAGGTAGAGACAGATGTAAAGACAGATGTATCACACACATCAACCAGTCAACTTACACTAGAGGATCAACTAAAAAAAAAGATATCTATAAATTCTAAAATAACAATTAGCAACTAATCGTTGGATTACCTCATTGCAAAACCAATAGAAACCCATCCATTGGTCCATGTTTATGACCTTATAATCAATTTGTGTTTGCATTCAGAGCAAAAACACTCAAATGAGATAAATAAATGGGATTGGCTCCTATCTTGTGCATGCCTATAAGGTCCTTCACGTCACCACTCAAACTATGCTGCATGATTGTATGTGAGACTGCTAAAAGAATATAAGTAAGGTTCAAACTTCAAACACAAAACCTTCCTAGTAAAATACCATGTCATCAATAAGGTTAGATAACTACTTGCCCCAAAAGCTTAAGCTATTACAGTATAGGCTACACGATGTTGCATCAAGCCCTCACACCCTCCCTCAAGTTCAACCTCCTTTCACATCTGAAAAGACTAAGAGATGGAATGGACTATGGACTATGGAAAACTAGATAGAACAAGGATAGCAATGCAAAAGGAAAGTTTTCAATGCAAGTGATAGGGATCAACCACTATTATGAGTGCAAGATTGGAAGAGGGAAACAAGGTGAAAGGTGCATGTGGAGTCTACTACTTGTGGACCCATTCATAATCACAGTTCTGATACCATATTAGACAATCAATTGTTCCACAAGCTTATACCAGGAACAAATATATCAAGCTCTCACAGTTTCTTCTTGATTGAAACTGTCATTGTTCCTATTTTAAGATAATGCTAATGTATATGATAGAATCTACTATTTTTTAGGAAAATGTTTGAGACTCTTAAAAAACTCCACAATGATATGATTTGTCAAGTGTTAGTTTTTTATGGTTATACACTCAATTATATGTAACCCACTACCTTTGCCACATCATTGTGGATGCATTTGTGGGTGCAAAATGTGAGTCTCTAGCATTGTCGATTTATGATGCCAGTGAAAGGGGTTTGATTGGAAAAGGTCAGGATGAAGTGAAAGGTTTTACACACAACAAAAGAAAAGAACTTTTGAAGCTACAAATAGCTATGATACATAAGTAGCACAAATGATGGCCGGTAAGGAAAAAAAGAAAAAAAAAGATCATGCTAAATTACAGATCACATTCTTCCACAACCTCAGTCTATCCTTTTAATCCAGTAGATTTCAACCAAAGTACTCCTCACGCGAACCTTATTTCTTTGAGTAATTTATCAAATCATCTTAGCCATTGATCTATAGCCTTGTTCAAAACTGTAATCCCTGGTTTTCATTCTACTCTATTTTGTCTAGCCAATAACACATCAGACATTTCACTGTCAAATGGAATTTTCCTTTCTTGATTATCTTATAAACTATAATTTGATGCCATAAAAGCATGTTAGCCTCGTAGCAGTTTAAAGTTCTTATGTTCAATGTAACAGAATTTTTTTTTTTTTTTTTTTATAAATAAGCGAACTTTATTGAGAAAGCATCAAGACGATGCAAGGAATCAATCTACCAGAAATTCACCACATAAATTCAATTATCTAACTCATCCTTCACCCTCTAATTCCTCAAACAATGTATCCTTCATCTTCCCCTTCTACGGGCAGCAGAAAAAGATGAATGACCAACTGGAGCTATCAATTCACTATTTTTCTCCTTTTTACATGTCCTTAGGCTTCTTTAGTACACTTTTGCTGAAGTATGAGATCATTAAGCATTTTCTAAATCAATTAACAATATATAACCCACAAAGAAGTTTTGATTCTCTCAAATAATGTTCTATTTTTTGAAATATTTCCTTCTGTTTCACATTCCAATTTTGTAATATTCTCATTTTCATTTCAATGATATTTCTGCTAATTTTTTCAATGGCAACTATAAAGAAAATGGAATAATAATAATCAAAACTCTACTAAAAATGTTAATCAAGGAAAGCCCTTTCAAGTGGATCGGCATATTATACATGTAATAAAGACCACTAGTTTTGGCTAAGAAAATGTGTCATATACTAACCAAATTCAATGGATGATAACTCTAAAATATCACATTTATCAATTTCTTTTTCAGAATAGTTGCAAGTACTAACATGACCAATAGCTCTGAAGATCTCCTAGGTTCCTTCTGCCAAATGTTGGAAGACAGGACAGTAATTATGTGATTTCAGAATAACTTGAAATCTCAAATGAATGAATGCTAGAACTGAAATTACAGCAAAATCAAGCGCATGAAAAAAAAAATCCAGATTTATATTCTTTAATATTTTTTTCCCAGTTTTCTCAGCAACCAAACAAAGATAAGGTAATGAAATAGAGCATATACAACTCATCAGTGAAAAACAATTACTGAAACAGAGCACATACAACTCATCAATCACTGAGAGAGAGAGAGAGAGAGAGACAGGAAGGAAGAGCTTCGGACAGAGAGAGAGAGAGAGAGAGAGAGAGACAGTGGAGCTCACCTTAGTAGACGATGGTGCAGATGTTGGAGACCAATCTGAATCTCTGAATCTCTGCGATGAAATCACTGAGATGAAATCACTCTGAATCATGAAATCACTGAGATGAATCTCTGAATCGCTCTGATAAGGGTTTAGAGAGGGTTGAGAGAGATAGAGAGAAAGAGAGACAGTGGAGCTCACCTTCGTGGTGCTCTCTACCTCGCTTTGAGAATGAACAAGCGGTTGAGCGTCAAAATCGCTCTGAGATTTATTAGAGAGGGAGAGAAAGAGCGCGCTTGAGATTTGGGTCTTAGGTGAGTCTCAGATTCAAAATTAGGGTTTGAAAAGAGGGGGACACCAAGCGCGTGAGGCACAACACATTTGGAGGCATTTTAAACGCCTTATATTATAAAACAGCATCGTTTTGTTAAATAAATAGGCGACGTTTTATAAAACGTCGTTAAATATATAAAAAAGTGACGTTTAAAAATGCGTCGTTAAAAAAACGCCGCCTAAACCCTTTTTCTTGTAGTGAAAGGAGTGTATATTAGAATTTCTCTTTAAAGTTATTCTTCAATCAACTAATTGGTTGAAACCGTTCAAACCGTAATTTGATTATGAATAGTAAATTTGTCAGTCCATTATCTACAATTTCATTTTAATTTTATCTTCAAACCACACCACGCACCACCCTCCAATTCCACTCACTCTCTAAACTTGTATTTAAATAGAAAATCACATTATTACACACACATGATTTATTTATTTATATATATCATCACAATCAAAGTGAGAGCTTTATGTTGTGTTTAATTAGAAGATTTGGGAAGGAATTTGAAAAAAGAAATAGAAAATTAATGCTTTCTATGGCTGGTAGGACTACTCTTATTCAAGTTGTGAGTTCTGCCATCTCTGCATACACTATGAAAAACTAATGTTGTCCTGAAGAAAATGTGTGATGAGATTGATAGACTTAACAGTAACTTTTTGTGGGGTGATATCCCAAAAAGAAAGAAAGTCACCTGGTTAATTAGGACATGGTTTGCAAGTCATGGTGGGCTTGGCTTGGTATAAAGAAAGTGAGAGACCAAAATCTAGCACTACTAGCTAAACTTGGTTGGAAACTCTTGAAAAAAGAGGATGACTTGTGGTGTAATATTCTTAAAAGCAAGTACTTGAATAACACTCCTTTTTATAACTGGCCTAAAAGGAAGAATGCTTCATTTGTGTAGAGAAGCATCCTTCAAAGCAAGCATATCCTTAGAAAATGGGTGAAGTGGAAAATTGGCAATGATGCCCTGGTAGATATTTGGAAGGATTGGTGGTTTGAGGACAAATCCTTTAAGGATGCAATGCCTAACACACACCAATCCAACCATACATCTACAGAAGGTTTTGGTTTAGTGGCTGAGTTTTTGAATGATCAAGGAGTGTAAGATGTGGAAAAAATCTCTTTGATGTTACCTCCTAACTTTGCCACTGTTGTCCTGAACAATCAACCTCCTATTAACACTTTACTGGATAGTCCTAATTGGAAAGGAACTCAATGTGGAGAGTTCTCTATGGCCTCTGCCTATGGTTTAATCATTGGTAATCAAAGGTGTGAGACAAATTGGGGTTGGATTTGGAAATTGAGACTGCCACAGAAACTAAAAGTTTCATGTGGTTGGTTTTACATGGTAAGTTGTTAACAAACCAAACGATGATGAAAAGGGGTTTATCCCTGATCCAAATTGTCCTAGTTGCTATAGAGCGGAGGATATGCAATATCTGTTTAAGGACTGCCTCAAAGCTAAAGATGTGTGGTTGGCTTTATGTGGCAAACAATGGTATATGGATATGAACAGGAAGACTTGGCAAGAATAGCTATTTTCAAACTCAAAAAATAAGAATCACTTTCATGATCATATCACATGGTCTTTTGTGTTTATTGTGACTTTATGGAAACTTTAGAAAAACAAGAACTCATTTATTTTTGATAACTTATCATCTAACTGTCATGACAATATCAAATTCATTCTTGATTATTCTAGAGATATTGACTTGGCTTTTAAAATTTCTATTATTAATCCAAGGCCTGCACTTAGATTGATAAACTGGGTTTTACCATCTGTAAGAAAAATCAAACTAAATGTTGATGGCAACAGAAGGTTGGAAGGTGGAGGAGGCTTTGAAAAAATCTTATGAGATGAAAGAGACAAGTGGGTATGTGGTTACTATGGTAAGATTAAAAGTGGCAGAAGTTTGGAGGCAGAGTTATGGGCTTTTTACAAGGGACTAACGGTGGCACTTCAAAAATAGATGCATGGGGTGATCATTGAAACTGATGCCCAGCAAGTGGTGCAATTGATGGAAGAAGATTCAGCTGATAAATTTCCATTCAAAGGGTTGTTGGAAAATGCCAAGATTATCTTTAGGGGATGTGAATGCACCATACAACATGTTTTCAAGGAAGGGAATCTGTGCGCCGATGCTTTGTCTAAACTTGGAACTGCGCAACTTGAAGAAATCCTAGTGGTTAACGAACCACCAACCGAGATTAAAAGCTACATGGTAGCTAATATGATAGGGTTATCTAGAGAAAGAGCCTAGCCTTGTTTTTTTTCTGCTGTACCCAAAAAAAAAAAAAATGGAAATGGAAAAGATGTGTAAAATTAGGTGAAATGTAAATATATTTTATTCAAATTTCACATACATTTTTCATTTCTCTTTCTTGTAAGATAAATTGATAGAATAAGAGAGAATAAATTGTGTATTATGATTGATGTATGTTGTTGATTGATATATTACAAAGGTTCAGTTGAACTCCTCTATATAGGAGAGGAGCCGAAAGTGGCACTAATAAAATAAAATAAAAGGAAAAGAAATATACCCTACTAACAGCTGATATACACTAACATAGAATAATATACTAACAGCCCCCCTCAAACTCAAGGAGGATAGGTACTAACCAACTTGAGTTTGAAGAGAGTAACAAAACAGGAAAAAATAAACTGACAAATAAAAGTGGATAGGAGACACTGTATGGTGGTGTCAAACCGTTGTAGGAGACACTTTATGGGGTCATGTCGGACCGTTGTAGCAGGACAGTTTACGGGGTCATGTCGGACCGTTGTAGAAGACAGTTTACGGGGTCATGTCGGACCGATGTAGCAGGACAGTTTACGGGGTCATGTCGGACCGTTGTAGCAGACAGATTACGGGGTCATGTCGGACCGTTGTAGCAGACAGATTACGGGGTCATGTCGGACCGTTGTAGAAGACAGTTTATGGGGTCCTGTCGGACCGTTGTAGAAGCTGACCGGAATTAATGTCGGGACAGTTATGGGGTCATGTCGGACCGTTGTAGAAGACAGTTTACGGGGTCATGTTGGACCGTTGTAGAAGCTGACCGGAATCAATGTCGGGACAGTTTATGGGGTCATGTCGGACCGTTGTAGCAAGTTGTGGTGGTGCACCAAGGGGGTGACTTAGGGAGTGCGCCATGAGCGACGTATACATGATACTGTGTATAACCCCCCCTCAAACTCAAATAGGTGTGAAGATAGAAACCTATTTGAGGTTGAAACAAAGGGATTGATAAAGCTGACCGGTGTAGAAGACACTGTATGAGTGTGTATATAGGCTGCCCAAAAGATATACAGGGATATAGATATCGAGCCCTCAAAAGTCGTGCCCTCAAAAGGTGTGCCCAATCTGTCAAAAGGCGTGCCATCAAAAGGCGTGCCCGATGCATCAAAAGGCGTGCCAGATATGATGGCGAGGCACGTGAGTGCCTTGGCTGGCGTGCCCGTTTGTCGTCTGGCGTCAAGTGGCGCGCGATACGCGTGGCTGCCTCGGCTATTTAACCAAGGCCAAATCTTCCAAGTTCTAGCTCCTCTCTCTCTAAAATGACCTCACTCTCTCTCTCTCTAAAGGCTCTCCTCCAGCAGATTTTTGATATGAAGATGAGTTCAAAGTGCTTAACTTCTTCTAACTTAATACATATACATATATATATATATATATATAAGTTGATTAGCTTAGGGTCTTAATTAAGGGTAAACTAATTGCAACTTAATTAGTCCAGACTTAATTTTTCTGAAGTGAATCAAATTTTAATCAAACTTCCATATAGGTTTTAATAATTATGTCATTCTAATTAAACTTGTCAATTTCAGCTTTTGAAAACATTAAAACCTTAAATTTCAAACTCAAAGCAAAAAGCACAACAAATAATTCATCAATGAATAGATATGCATACAAATACACATCAAACACATAATTAACATTCAGAATAAAATAGATATAAGTATAATACGTGATGGGATTATCACAGTTTACTTCTTTATTCTATCTTTATTCATATTTACCATTAAAAATTATTTTTAATACATTCTTTTTAATTAAAATCTAAAATGTAGATCTAAAATTGTATTAAAAATGTAGCAAGAAATGGTTGTTTGGCATTAGTTTTTGGCAAAAGATGAAAGCTAAATCCAAGCTGCATTCCTCAGCATTTGAATAATTTGAATTGTGTTTTGTTTGTTTGTTTGTTTTTTTTTTTTTTTTGTTTTTTGTTTTTTTTTTGTTTTTTTTGTGTTGTTGTTTTGGCAGTCGAATATATAGAAATAAAAAGAAAAGAAAAGAATGAAAAGAAGAGAAGCATCCGGTGGAAATATTAAAAAAAAAAACTGTGATGGATATGTATGTGAAAAATGTTTGGGTGGAAGAGATGATGATGATTTCAAAAAAGAAGATTAAAAAAAAAAGAATAATAATAAATAAAGAAAAAAAAGAAAAAAAAAAGAAAAGAAGAGTGGTGTCTGGGTAGAAAAAGTGGAGCATCTGCCTCTTTGAAACTAGAATAATATTTTTTTTTTTATTTTATTTTATTTTATGTATTTATTTATTTATGTATGTATTTATTTATTTATTTATTTATTTTTAGAATAAAAGATAAAAAGTTAGGCAGTGGAAAATGTGATGATGGTGTTGGGTGGAGAAAAGTTTAGAATAAAAAAGTTTATATAAAATTGGGATAGTGCTTTATAATAATGAAAATAAAGAGAGTGCAGATTGCTCACATTTGGTAAAGATATTCGCGTCAGGGAAGATACCCAATTCCCACTTTCGGTACTGTTGGAAATTGAGCTGCTTTATCAGTGAGATCCATGTTTCTAGTTAAAGCATTGAAGTCACCTTTCCACCAGTTCGAAATCGTCAAGAAGCAGCGTTGGAGAGAGCAAAACGTTTTTCGGATTTTCCGATTCATGGGGAGCTTGTAAGTTCTCAAGTGAGGAGGTGTTAGAGAAGATGGTTTGATGGTCTCCCTGGAATTGATCTCAACCTCCATGTTTTTCAGATCTTCTGATTGTAGTTCTATGATGAAGAAGACAAGTCCAAGTTGAATATATATATATATATATATAGAGAGCAAAACGGTGAAGTTGGCAAGCTGTATGGGCGACGGCACGAGCCAGCAACAGCTCGGGTCGCGGTGCTGGCGTGTCCGGAGCAAATGTAACCAACGAACAAAGGCGCGTTGAAGGTCAATAGTGCAGAGTGGTGGTCTTCGGCAGCTGTGGAAGCAAGATTAAGCTCTGGTGAGTTCGGAGCTTTGAGAAATTGATGCTGGATTGGAGTGAAATACTGAGGGTGATGAGAGGTCCGGCGGGCGGCCAAGGCGAGGCTGCCGCCCGCCAGTGAAGCGAAAATACTATATCCTCAACCTGGCTCTGATACCATGTAAGATAAATTGATAGAATAAGAGAGAATAAATTGTGTATTATGATTGATGTATGTTGTTGATTGATATATTACAAAGGTTCAGTTGAACTCCTCTATATAGGAGAGGAGCTGAAAGTGGCACTAATAAAATAAAATAAAAGGAAAAGAAATATACCCTACTAACAGCTGATATACACTAACATAGAATAATATACTAATAAATATTTTCCCAAATATTTTTCCAACCAAACACAACGTTAACAAGCTGAATTAATTAGATTGATTCATTTAATTAAGAAGCTTAAATTTGGATTCGAGATTGACTCAAATCTCAAATCTCAAATATATAATTTTGCTGAGCTTGAACGAGTTACATCAAGTTGAATTTATTTAGTTTAAGATCAGCTCGTTCAATTATCCTAACTTGCTTATATAAAAAACAATTTCTTGGAGACCTGTTTGTCATAGGAAAATTCTATTCTTGAAGACCTCAAACAGTTATTAAACTTCCATAACTTGAAAACTAATAATAAGAAAATGGGGTTCAGAGAGAGAGAGATATTGGTGAGAGGTTAGGGGGGTTTGACTCACCTTTGATCTGGAGAGACTCTAATTACAGAGAACCATTCATGGTGTTGTTGGAGAGAAGATTGGAGGGCAAATAGCAATGGGGAGGTTGTAGAGAGAGAAACTAGTGAGAGAGAGAGATTAAAAAGGTTTTGGAGGGTAAATTACAAATACACCTGCTCTTGAGGTTTACTTAAAATATAAATTATATTTTATGGTTTAAAATTACAAATATCTCTCTGTCAGAATTTTTTATTTAACAGAATTAATTAAAAAAATTAAATTTTTAACTATTCACCTATATAATAATAAAATTATCTAAATTATTAATTAAAATAAAATTTTAACATTTTTAAAAACTGTTAATTAACTTGATGATTTATTAATAAAAAAGACTTATTTGCTATAAAATTAAAAATTTGTTATTAAATTAGAAATTTTAAGAGACATAATATAATTTTTAAAATCACGAGAAGTAATTTATAATTTAAATAAATATGTAATTTACCCGGATTGTGGTTCTTCATTGCTTTTTTTTAACCTTTGTGTTCAGATCTGTGAGATTTGAATTTTGAAGAAGAAGGAAAGAAAAGGCACTTCTTTCTTCTTGGGTTGCAACCGACCTCATGCGAGATGATGACAGAAGTGATGAGTAGAGTATACTTGCAAACAGATCAGATCTGGGTCTTTGCCTCATTTTTTTTATTTTATTTTTTTGTTTATTGCAATACAAAAATAATATCCTTTGTCCTCATTTTCAAGTTTTTTTTATTATTTGGATAAATTATAAACAGATTATGAGTTTTGTTTAAGACATGTATTGTTTTTGTAGTTTTGAAACTTATAAATATAATTTTATTAAATTTTTTATTTAATAGAATTAACAGGAAAATAATTTTTTTAACTATCTATATAATAATAAAATTATAAATTAAAATAAATTTTTGAAATCTTTAAAAAATATTAATTAATTTAATTTTTTATTAATAAAAAAGGCATAAAAAATTTAAAAGGATAAAATATAATTTTAAAATTCTAAAAAATAATTTATATTTTAGTAAATCTTTGTGTATTTATAATGAAGGAGGATTCTGGAGTGCATTGTTTGGGTTGTGAGGCTTACTACGGGTCTCGTTTCTATAATTCGAATCGTTTATATTATTGAATACTTTGTGTATTTTATCTACACAATTTTGATTTAATAATTGTAACTTATTCAATTTATCATATTTTTTAAAAATAAATTATACAATTTTTTGATTAAAAATGTTATAAATTGAATAAGTACACTGATTAACCTAATTTTTTGTGCAAATAAAATATACAAAATACTCAATAAAAAAATAATTTGAATCATCAAGACCCACACAAGCCTAAATAGTGCCCTCACATTGGAAGAGATGCTCCTCCATTTATAATTTACTATTATTATTATTATTATTATTATTATTATTATTATTTTTGAACTACATTTTATTACTGCTGTTTGGTAAGACAAACTTATCGCTATGTCCAGTGTAATGTAAGCGTCCCACCCACTGATCGTGACTGGCTCGCGCATTTGTATTTTTTATTTTTTTCTTCAAGTTAAATAAATATTACCTAGCCCAATTAAAACCGAGGTTTCGCCCTGCGACGTTATTAGTAGTGGAAATTGAATTTTAGTAGGATATTGAAAAAATAATTTTATTTTTATAATGGCATGAATCTCAATTCATTTATTTTTTTCGTTTCAAAATATTAGTTTATTTTTTTATTTTTTATTTTTTATTGTCCTAAAATATTAGCCCCTCTTCAAAAATCAAGTACAAAAATAATATAAATTTTCTATTTTTCCCTTCTTTTAAATTAATAAAAATTATAAAAAGTACAATTATGACATTGATATTCTCAAAAAATGTATTATCAAAAGGATAATTTTGAAAAATTAACTTTTTTCAAATGCAATAATTGTACTATCAAAAAAAATTGAATTTCCCAAAAAGAACCATTATTTTGGGACAGAGGGAGTATGTGTTTGTATGTCACAAGATTCTTATATATAGTACAATTATATTCTTTTATAATGGTCTCATCCACTATCATGTGTCAATAATAATACGGTGGTGTTACATGCACCAATTGGTATATTAATTAGGGCTATTTTGGGAAGTGAATTAAAAGCTACTTTTCAACTTTTAACCCACTTTCCTCTCTCACAAAAAAATTAAAAAAAATTAAAAACAGTTTTTAACCATCTTCCCAAAACACCCCTTAGTATACTAACATATATTATGACATTATTATTTCTAAATGAGAAAAGCTTCGTAGCTCGAAACTTTTCGGCCCGATTGGCTCGAAAACTCAATCAAATATATTTTTGTCATATTTTCTCTCTCTCCTCTCTATGTTGAAAAGAAAAGAAAGTGAAAGTAGAAAAGAGATTTGGGTTGAGGTTTGATTACCGGTAAGACAATGCAAAGAAGAGAGGAAGAGGAGGAGAGAGAGCCATACCATCTTCAACATTTTGATGAGTAGCAAAGTTGATTGAAGCTCTATTGTTCTCTATATGTATGTATATATATATGTGTGTGTGAGAGAGAGATAGAGTTGGGGGGGCTGAAGGCAAGTATCGAAGTGCGAAGCAAGTTAGGAAAGAGGAGTAGCAGAGTTATTATTGCCTAATTCGTGGACAAACTTTTTATGGTGCACTCTACAAAAATCTTGCTTGGTATTGTTGTACGTTGCTGGTGAAAGCCTGAAACTGTGCTACCTTGATAAAATTTTCAGCCAAATCGTCTCTGTAGGTAGCATAGGATAGGTTCAAACAATTGGAAGAGAAAGAGGGTGAGACATTGATTTCTCTCCCCAAACCCCACCTAGTTAGAGAGTGATAAATGTTCTTCACAGATGGGAGAATCAAACCCATGTGGTGCTGTTGATTTGTGTTGCAGAGAACGGTGTGTCCGACAATAATTGTGGTGATTTTGGTGGCTGGGTAGTAGGCTAACACATGGGTTCTGAGCCATGCCTCAGCCACAATCACTGAGTCGATCACTGCTCACAAAAACACCCACAAGAACACCTATGTGAGACAGTGATTGAAGGACCATTGGAGATGGGTCATGGAGAGTTAGGTGTTATGTTTTCTTTCCTTTTTTTTTTTCAAATGAAATGTGTGGGGTGTGGGAGTTGAGTTCAGCACACGCCCAAAGCAGATAGAAAGTCAAATTCGGGCCATTCGAGCCTCATGCTTTCGAGCTATGTAGCGGAGCTGATTTCTAAATTATGACTCCACCCATTATACAAATTATAAAAATTCAAAACCTCTAAAATTATATCACATCATACGTTAGTACACTAATTGATATACCAACTTATACGAGCACGAAATAATTTTCTCGTATAATCCTGTTGATCAAGTTTGCACTCCTCCAAACGTCGTCGCTTTGCTATCTGAAAACACAAACATGAGCTAATCGGCGGGTGTGTGCCGGAAACCCCTCCGATACCTAAGTCAGCAACTAGACAATAGACAATAAGCTCTGTGTATTCTAGAGTAAGAATTGTGACACCTGTACATAGGTCCTGAGAGGGTAATTTGTAAACAAATTAAGCCTAGCTAGAAAGAGTTTTCTTTGGGAGTTGGGTCGCGTAATGGGCCGAGATAAGGGCTGGTGTAGCTCGGTCTACGGCCAAGAAAACATCTCATATTTCGGGTTTGGGCCGAACTATGGGCCGAGGTAATTATTTATGTAGCACGGTCCTTGATCATCTAAACATCGGGTCGGTCAGAGATGGGCTACCAGTGGCCTGACCTAGCTATCCTGGACCGAGGTATCACTGGATGGAGGACCGAGCTAAAGGATAGCTTTGTAGGGCGTCATCTCAAAGTTAAGACTGACAGTGGTGCTTAAAGTATCACCGAGCTGTGTGAGCATGGTTGACCGCAGTGTCAACCGAGGTAAGGGTTCAGCCATCTCACGTGGCTAGCAGTGATGAGAGTGTTTTAAGGATAAGCATTATCCTTAGGCTTGAGACTCCTAGGAGGACTCTGCTGAGGAGAGTAGAGTCCTATTA